TTTTATTTTTCATGTTTTTGAAGAAAACAATTGAATTTGGGCTAGTTTACCAAGTAAAACCCAAAAGTTGAGCCCAAGAAAAGCCCAATTCGGCCCAAAGCCCATCAACCCATCAGCTAGCCGAGCCGAGCTGAGAAGCCGCGAGCCAGCCCAGCGCCACGTGTCGATCGTTGTCGCACCGCAGGCCGTGGGACCCAGCTGCTCCCTCGCGTACGTGCGCTTGGCGCGCACGCTGCTTCCTCCGCGCGAGTTCTCCTCACGCGCGCGTCACCCGGACTTCCTCTCTCTTCCGCGTGGGTCCCGCGTGCCAGCACCCCTCCAGCAGAGCTCGCCACGTGTCCCACTGTTCCCCCACGTACGCACGTTTTGCGCGCACTCTCCCTCTCCGCGCGAGTTTCTCTTCCACGTGTCCCACTCTTCAAAACGTGATGATTTTTCTCCCTCGATTAAGCATCCGATTTGTATATTCTTAGCATATTCAAACTCTATAAATAGGATCATTATCTAAGTGATAAGGGGATTAATTTTTAGAATCTAAATTCGTACACATTTTCTCTTATTTTCTTGTTCTTATTCTTATACTTTCTTTTTAGAATTTTATGAGAATTATGTGCAAGCTAGGCTAGAGTATTTAGCTGAGGCTAGAGATGATCTTATATGTGTAGTGAACTTATTTAGATTTTTGATTCTCCAATGGTTTGTAAGTTTTATACATTTGAGTAAATAATTTTCTTTTATCATATTTCTTCTTCTTATCAATATATTTTATTGTCAACTCTCATATAAATCTAGTCAAGCTCTTTTTATGTGATTGTTGCATTATATGATATATTGATCGGTATTATTTTATGAGTAGTCTTTTACTGCATTATTGCCAACGGTATATTGTCGCTCTTGGATTTCTCATAAGATAATTTTTCCTAATTCTAAACGTTAGAATTTTATTTACTCGAATACATTTTTAATTCATATGTTCTTCAAATATTTATTTTCTGATTGATTGTTTGGGATGTGAAACTTTCAATTGAGTCAATTTATGAATCAAAATCCAAATAGGTGAACAAAGCATATGGAGGATTCTCAAAGCCTTACCACTTTTATTTATTGAATTTTCTCCATTTTAAATTGTTCATAAAATCATTAAAAACACTCATTCTTTTTCTTTGTTTAATTGCTTACTTTCCTAACGTTTTTTATGTGCTAATCATTTCTTGTTCAATTTAACACTTCCTTGTGGGATCGACCGTTCAAATTGTACTACAATTGACCGCTTGTTTTTGTATACATTTGGGCGTAATCAGCCGTACGTGGAGAGAGAGAGAGAGAGAGAGAAAGAGAGACAAATAGAATGAATAGAGAGAGGGAAAGTGAGGGTTTTCTGATTTGTGAGGATGAGGAACACGTCCAAGTGGCACTAAATGACAGGTTAGGCATGCTGACTGTCAAAATTTTCATTTTGACCCCCATATTTCTCTTAAATTCGAATTCTGGCCTAGATTTCTAAAATTTTCACACTTAAGTCTTTAAAAATTTCAAATTAACCCCAAATAAATTTTGGGATTTACAGTCTATGTCCTCGACGAGGCTCTGGTGAACCATCCTTGCTTCCTGTCTTCCTGGCTGGTCATATCCGCGCAGGGCGTCAGAGTATGCAATCTTAGCTTCATACTGGTTGCTCTTCATTTCGCCCACGCCATTTGGGGTAAGGAACTTGACCTTTTGGTGGTAAACGGAAGTTATGGCGCCTAGCGCCTGAAGGGTTGGTCTTCCAATCACGGCGTTGTATTGGGAGCCTCCTTTTGTAAACACAAAGTTGGCCATTGTGGTAGCCTGTCGGGGTTTTTCTTCGGTAGTTATAGGCAACCGGATGGTCCCCTGGGGGAAGACGGAGTCCCCAGTGAAACCATATAGCGGCCTGGAGGGTTTTTCCAATTGTTCCTTTTGGATCCCCATTTTCTCCAAGCAGTCGGAGTATAGGAGGTTCACCGAGCTCCCATTGTCTACCAGGATTCTGCACACGGTGTGGTTTCCTATCATGGCTTCCACCACCAAGGCGTCGTTGTGGGGGAAATGAACCCCACTGGCGTCATCCTCGTTAAAGGCCACGTCGGTGTGACTATACCTTGGGGTTTTTACAGCGGAGACGCTCCAGAATCGCTCCTGATAAACTCCCCTGGCCTTGTGGGCGTAGTCCTTCTGAGACCTCCTTGAGTCTCCTCCTATATAAGGACCGCCGAGGACAGTCCTTATGACGCCGACGAGTTCGTGATCCTCCAGGCGCTGGTTCTCCTCTCGGCGTCGACCGTCATTCTGCCCACCATGGCCGTCATTTCGGGGCCTTCGCTCGGCCTTGAATTCTTGTAACCTTCCCTCGCGGATCACTCTTTCGATTTCATCCTTGAGGTCGGCGCAATCGTTGGTGATAAACTCCCCTGGCCTTGTGGGCGTAGTCCTTCTGAGACCTCCTTGAGTCTCCTCCTATATAAGGACCGCCGAGGACAGTCCGTATGACGCCGACGGGTTCGCGATCCTCTGGGCGCTGGTTCTCCTCTCGGCGCCGACCGTCATTTTGTCCACCGTGGCCGTCGTTGCGAGGTCTCCGCTCGGCCCTGAACTCTTGTAACCTTCCTTCGTGGATCACTCTTTCGATTTCATCCTTGAGGTCAGCGCAATCATTGGTGTGGTGGCCAACATCGCCGTGGAACCTACAAAATTTCTTCTGGTTCCTTCGGTTGGGATCTGACTTCATCGGTTCCGGTCGGCGCAGCAAGTTCCCGCGGCTGACCTGATTGAAGACCTCCTTGACTCCTATCGTTAGCTCGTGGTAGGAATCATATTTTTGGAACAGTCGAGGCTTACGGGTATCCTCTTGCCTCGGCTTCTTGGCTTCTAGAGCGCTCGTCGTCGCGGCGGGCTGCTTGTCTCTGTTTCCTCCGCCTCGACGCTTCTTCCCATCATGTTTCACAGGCTTCGACCTTTGTTCGGTTCCTTTATTCTTGTTAGACTTGTGCTCGGGGTCGTTTGCGTCTGCCTCTTTGGCGTTGATGTACCCCTGCGCTCGCGCCAAAAACTCCCTGTAGCTGGACGGAGGTTTCCGGTTCAGCTCTCTTTTGAATGGGGTGATTTTCTTCATGCTAGATAAGACCCCCATCAAGGCCTCTCTATCCGTTATATCCATCGTGGCGGCGACAGCTTCCCCATATCTCGCGAGCCATTCCCTTAGTGACTCGTTCGGATTTTGGTATATCGTCGTCAGATTCTGCTATGGGGGAACGTACTTTTTGACCCCTATGAATTGGAGGGAAAACGCTTCCTTCAACTTGTCCCAGCTCGAGATAGAGTTTGGCCTCAACGTCCGGAACCATCTTCGGGCAGAATCCGTCAAATGGTTTCGAAAGGCTCGGCACATGATCTCCTCGGCATAACCGTGCAAGAGCATGTGCCCTGTGTACATCTCCAAATTGTCGTCGGGATCACCTCGCCCATCATACGGTGGGATCGATGGCGACCTGTATTTATCGGGGAGAGGGGGTGCCATTATTTCTTCGGTAAATGGATGGTCATGTGTGCGGCTGGACGTGATATCGACGTTTACCACCTCAGCCACACGACCTATATTCTTTAAAGGCCCGCCACGTCCCCCGTCAGTTTTTGCTCCAGGCTGGCCATACGTTCCATGATGGCACGTGCTTCTTCTGTCGAAATGGCCGAGCCGGCTATTCACGACACTTCTGCCCTCTGAGCGTTGGGTCCGCCTCGGGCCTGGCCGCCTGCCTGTACTGATCCTGAGCCTCCTGGCGGGTTTCCACCTGGATTCTGGGATAGTACCTCGGGGTTTCCTGGACCTTTTGGTACCCGGTCCTCAGGAGCTCGGAGTCCGGCGGCCCCCAAACGGCTGCTAGAGGATTGGGTAGGCTGAGGCCTAGGAGGGCCCCGGTGATTCTCACTATCTCCGGTTCCCTCTTGGATATGTGGGTGGTCACCGTGGTTCGGATTTTCTACCATGGCAGGTCCCTGCGGCCCCAGGGCGTCTTCTAATGGCGGCATAGAGTTCCTTCCATCTAAGCGCTCAACCACGGTCATTAGCCCACGTACCAGCTCGGTTACAGTGGTTAGTTGGGCCTGCAACTGGATCGGATCCGACCGTGGTGCGTCTGGAGGTGGGACTTCGTTTCCGACCGGGCGTTGATCTTCTTCCATCCCGCTCTGGATGGATGGAGGTTTATAACTATGTTGTTGGGGGTCGAACGCTTTCATTCCCCAGCGTAGTCGTCAATTGTTGACGGTCAAATTTCGCTAACAAAAATCGGCCGGGTTACCTTTTGGTTTCCCTTTGGATTACCGGCCTGTGTATAGTGAACGTATGAAAATTTGTTGAATATGCGTGTTGTGTGTTTAACTAACTCAAGCATGGATAAATAACACGAGGAATTTTATAGTGATTCACTCCATAAAATGAGAGCTACATCCAATGTGATTTTGTATTTCTTTTTAGAAGGAAACAATTTACAACAATTGCTCTCATTAGATCTCTTTTCTCTTTGCTGGAATCTCTGAACCCCTTCCTTACTTGGGGTCTTCCTCCTTTTATACCGGGCTTCTTTCGCTTAGGAGGTTTCCTTCATAGGTGAAAGCACTTAAGTGCTCTTCCTTGGTAGGCCCAAACGTAGCCCACTAATCAGCACTGTTCACTCAGCCAATTAGTCTCCTACTACGGCTCTGTGCTTCTCCGTAATACTTTCTTGTCCCTTGTGGGGCGGTTTGAGGGCTTGCAATTAATGCCTGCAGACGTCTTCCACTTTTGCACGCAGCCCGTCATGTCCTCTAAAGAACGTTCCCCTCGTCGTCAGCGCTGCTTAGCCCAATCGCCCTCTTTGGCGGTTACTTCTGCGGTCGAGGGATCTCCTTGTCTTAATCTCGACGGCGCGATCTGTCGACGCCAGAAAGAATCGTTACCCTAATTTGGACTTCGTGCTTTGGGCTTTCCAGCGGAATAGGAGGGAGCCGTAGACGTCGAGAGTTGTCGCTTGGCGGAAAGTAGTCAAAGCCACGTGTCGTATTATCGTTCGTCCATGTGTCTGCCACATTTTCCCACACAACAGTAACCATGTTAGTTACAGAATAAATGTACCAAAAGTAAAATGTACTTAAGACAGAGAAAAAAGAAAAGAAGAGTACCCACACTCACCAAATTTTCAGTTAAAACTTAAAACTCTAATTCCTCTGCTTTACACATGAATGAGCAAGAGCAAGCATGAACTACACATTGCAATAAGAACCTTTTGATTTCTCAGCAAAAAATTATGAGGTCATTTTAGTGAATAAATAAATATATAGAAATGTGAAAAAGAAAATTTACCAATGTGGCTAACTAGCACAAATTCTTCACTCAAGCACACTTTCTCATAGCCTGAACCGATCCATCCAAAATCCATAAACGTTTTTCTGATAGACTAATTAATTAATTTTCTAAATGCAGCAAAAATATATACATTTTCCTTAAGGCAAATGAGCATGAAACAAAAATTTCTCAAAAACCAAACAAAAGAAAGAAAAAAAGAAAGAGAGAAAGAAAGGAAAGGAAAGGAAAGGAACACCTTGCAAAGTGTGTACTCGGTGGTCTGGTGAGAAAGGCATGTCTGGTGAGAAAGGCAAAATCATGCTAAAATGAATTCTCTTCTTTGTACTATTTAGCCTTATGAAAAGTTTTTGAAATAACTACAAAAATTAAAACGTAGTGTATGTTTTACAGAAACAGAAAAACCAAACCTAAAATACACTAGCAGAATAATGCATTAATTTGGGAAACAAACACATAATATTTCTGGAATTTCATCACTTAACTAAATATAAAGAAGCAGAATATCATACCAAAATCAACAAACGAGAAAACGAAAAAGGGAGAAAGAACACAAAATGAAAATCTCTAAAAACATAAAGGTAGAACTCAAATTTGTCACTGATTAGGCAAAATCGATTCGAGAGAGAGAGAAAAATTTATCTTGCTAGCAATCACAGTTCTCAGCCTCCTTCCTAGCCACATCGAGGACCGAGTCGATCAACTCATCGCCTTCGGTGTAGTGACCCTGGGCGCAGTTGTTTCTGGCGCAGGACTGACCAAAGACGACGTTGTCCGGCCTGAAGATCTTTGCCCTAGGGCCTAGATCGGACGTTGTCCATGGTTCTGGGCTCATATCCCTGAGGACGGCGCGTGGGATGAACCGCCCGCAACCGGCCTCATTGTAGAAGACATTGACTCGCTCGAGTTGTACCGACCCGTCGAGTCGATCCCGTGCTCAGCGCAAACCACTTCCCAGAACTTGGCTCCGATCTGGTTTCCGCATTGGCCTCCTTGGATGTGAAGGATCTCTCTCATTTTCGGTGTTCTGAGTACGAACGAGTTACTGAGTTCTAGAGAGAGAAAGAGAAGGGAATATTGGAGGAGGGAGTGAGAGAGAATGGTTTGTGTTTTGATCTGTGAGTGAGAGAAGAGACCGAGGTCTGAGAGGGAAGAAATGGGTTTTTTCATAATTGGGGAAGGAGGACGTTTCAACGGCTTCAAAAACTAAAACGGTAAAATGAAAGTGATGGTGCCGTTTGCTTTAGGGGGAATTCGAATTTTGATAAAGAGAACAGAACATTTTTGAAAATTTTTTAAATTGAAATTAAGAGAAAATTTTTAAAAAAAAAAAAAAAAAAAAAAAAAAAAAAAAAAGAGCTAGAATTTGGAACGACCGCAACGAATCTGGAGCGTTAATTGTGTATGACTGAACGAGATTTTGTTTAGATTTAAATTCTGTGATGAGTGTAACTGTATCTGATGTTACGTAGCAAAGCGACGGTTAACCTTGTGGATTGAGGAAAATTAATAAATTAGAGTGTTAATAAAATTTCTAAAAAAAAATATTAAGTTGGGCATCTCTTGAAAATTAACTTACCGGAAGTAGAGTCTCATATATCATACAATTATAAAAATAAAAAACAATGTTCTATGTATTTAAAAAATGTGTAGAAAAAATGTATAATGTTTATAGTTAGGATTGATGATTTATGCAATTTGAGAGATTCTTAGTCCGCAATCTAATTTGTAACCTTCATATTGAGAATCTTTTAATCCTTTATCGATCTAAATTGTTCTCAACCTAATCAAATATGGCTGATTAGATTTACTCACTCGGATTAAATGGATCAGTGGATTCAATAAATTCTCACAATACTTATTGTTTGCAATACGTAAATTTTTTAAATTTATTGCTTCATATCTCAGAATTATACTCTATTCTTATATTTCCTAAATTATAGGACAATTTAACCACTTAACCACAAAACACATCTAAACACCATTATTAAAATAAGGACCTTAGAAAGAAATTCGCAAATCATTAGAAAAATTAGGTCTTCTTCATATTTAGCACTTGAACAATTTAAATCTCTATTCACATATGTTAAATATATTCTGGATACTTAAATATTTTTTCTTCATCTCAAGTATGTTTAATTTTTCTTAAAATCTCCCTTATACTGAAAAAAATATATACGTCAAAACATTTACAAACTAGTTCAAATATACCATCAATTTATGTGTTGTTGCTTACCCACTAAGCAAATAAACTACTACATTCATTTTTTACTCATAACATATTATATATGTTTTTCCTTGACCAAATGCATCTGTGACGGGTTACATTGGGCAACTGACACGTTACCTTCAAACGCTGCCATATTACAAGTGTTTGTTTATGCGTTATGAACATATGAACCTTCTTTTCAATAATTAGTTCACAAATTTACATAATCTCCCTACTGCTTGCAACACGAATACTGATTTTGCATCTTCAAATATATTATGATTATTTTCATAAATGCCCCCAAATCAGTGAACTTCTCCCATACCCAACCTCTCATTGTCACGAAGCAACTTTGTTGAGCCCGTCTCTCCGTTGTGGGAACCCAGATCCACCAAGCTTGAGAAGCAATTAACGGCACACTAGCCCGACCCTTAGATCCGTCAAGCCCGTCCTCTTCACGAGCTACCGCAAGCCCAGATTCGTCCATCATCGTCCTGCCATCGTGCTCTTCCCAGCAATCTGGCATCAGAAATGAATCTCTAACACAGGATCAAGACAGTTGAAAGTAACCCCTAATATGAGTATCTGCCCAAGTTTAGTTTTAACCAGAAGCATTGATAGTTTGCGTCATGCGAAGCCCCAAGTCATTACCTATTTCTTCACCTAAAACTATCAGATTTTCATCTTCATCTAAAGCCCCAATGATTTTCAAATATTCTACAGCATTTTGAACCCACAAAGAGAAACATGATTAAGGTAATTTTAATCATAGAAAAAAGAAAATTAGAATGGCTTCAATTTTGATAATATCGATTTCAAAGTAATTCAAATGGAAGAAATGAGCGGCTAAACTACATGTGAAAATATAACAGAAATAAAAAGAGCATAAATATTTAAAAAAGTACACAATATTGTTATTTTTTAAGTCAAGTTTGTTCATTTATTTGTTATTATTTTTTTCATATTTAATCTTTTTTATAAATTAATTAGAAATTAATGTCTCTATTATCACTAAATGACCTACCAAATAAGCAAAATTTTTAAATTTATAGATGGAAGTGGACAAAAAGAGTAATTTGATTAGTTTTCTATACATCAGAGGGTGTTTTGAATCGTTTCAAAAATTTGAAAAGCAATTTAAAACGGGATACATACTTTGGGGGGGCTTAAGAAAAAATTCAATATATTATATTGGTATAGAATGACAATTATAACCTCACTTCCCATAATATATTATGAAAACAGTTCTCTAGAAATGCATTCAACTATTACATCCTTTACACAAAATCAGTTGTGGTCGATGAAAAGCACCAATATCAGACGACTTTTGTTAAATGAGATTCGACGTTACATTACTGTAGAATTACACAGAGTGGATCTGTAATTTGGGCCCAAGACCTACCACTGTTGGCCCTGTCTGAACCTCCGGGCCGGGGGTGGGGCAGACATTCCAAGCCCAAACCCTTATTCGGTCTAGGTCCGGTCTACCCGAACACCCTTTAAGGAAATTTTATTCACACCCCACACATTTATTAGACACCTCATTTTAAAAAATATAATTTTTAGCCCACTTATACCCTTGCGTTCGAGTAGTTGACCACTTGTACACCCCTTAGATAATATCTTATTATGAAGGAAATTTATGTTGCTCTGTGTTAAGCTGATGTGAGTTTTTTCTGGTGTTATTTTAAAGGAATTTATGTTGCATGCCTTTCTTCTTGAGGTGGGTTTTTTATTTTTGAATTTGGCTTAGTTTGGTAGTGCTGTAGATTTTAGAAAAATTACTTTTAGCTGTGCTAAAAGAAGAAGCAGTTGTTACAAGAAGCAGCTGAGTGTTTGGTAAACTGTAATTATAGTAGCTGTGCTGGTTCCAAAATCAATGTAATAGCGTTTGGTAAATTTTAATGTTGAATTGCTGTGGGTATGTAAAATGACCAAAATAGATATGATATGAAACTTAAATATATATAATTATTTTTGTATTTAAAAATACTTGTTTAACTTAAAAAAAAAAACACAATGCTATGATTTTGAGTTTTTTAACAATAAATTTATGATAATTAATTTTTTTTTTCATTTCTTCATTCACAATATAGTTACAACAAAAAGGAGCATTAGTGAGTAATCAACTTGTTGCAATTTGATCTCATACTTCATCCATTTTTTGTGATAATAAAAAACTAGTATTTTGATTTTCTTCTACATTATCCTCAAGTTGATTGTCTTTATAAACGATACCATATGGATCCACCTCAAGGAGTATGAGACTTGAGGCCATGTCAACGACGTAAAAGAGCAAATGAGACAAACTGGAGATATTGTTGGGAGGCTTCTAGCGCCAGGTTTAATGGTTTAATTGGTTAAATTAGACGGATCCAAATTAAAAAAAAAAAAAAAAACTGTATTTAGTTTAGATTTCCTTTTCTCTTATTTGTCTTCTCCTTTCTATATGGTTATCTTGTTGCTTTCACAATAAATTTGCTTTGGCAGAACTTACAAATTTACATGCAAAGTTCAAGCAATATAACGAAAATTGAAATTTAATTACAAAAATTCATCCCGAACTATATCTCTTGTAATACTTTGTCCCCGCTCTCCTCCCAATTTTTAAAACGTAACATCCATTCCCGCTAAATAATAAAATGTTAACAAAAAGGATCCCCTTTGTTAAATTTTTAATGGAAATTTATGTAGTGACCAAGAAAATCTCAGAATTTTAATAACGTAATTCATGTATTTAAGTCAAGGATTTTCCTGGAAAATCATTATACTATGTACATTTTGTAATTAAAGGATTTATGGAATTAACATCTGCATTCCTAAATTCTGTAGCAGATTTCACGTTAAGTTCACATTTTTCCGATCAAGTAAATTTGATCGATAAATTCTCACCGTACTTTAAAACGGAAGAATTTCCAGTACAGATACAATTAGAGAATCTTAATTTTAAGAATCTCCCAGCACAGTACAACCTAGCATCCATAACCCGTATACAAGAGAAAATAATTGTCAGTATAATTTTGGACAGTTTTAATGAGTAACTTAAGGGAATGGATAAAAGTACAAGGGGTAGGTTAGTGTGTGTGATTTGATGAGATGTGATGAGAGAGGTGAATAGGACTAATGATTAGTTTTTTTTTTCTCCCTTTTCTCTTCACTTGGCCGGCCATCCTTAGGAATTTATATCCAAAAATTTTGGTTATATGTTGAGTATGTTAGAAGGTTACAAGTTAAGGTGATGAGATGGTAGTGGTTGAAGGGGAATTAATGGCAATTTTGGCTTCTCATTTTCTCCTTCCATAACCGGCCAAGATTGGGGGAAATTGAACCAAAATTTGGTTGATTGAGAGAGTTGATGTGGTGTTAAAAAAATAATTTCCAAGTGCCTATAAAAGGAACCACCATAAGATAAGCCTCATTTTTTTTCCCTAGCTTTTCTCTCCCCCTCAAAATCCGGCCATACCACACTCCCCCACTCTTTCTCAAATATTTTCTCCTACTCCCCCAATCTTGAGCCACTACAAACCATAGAAGAAGAAGAAGGAGACCAAAGGGTCTAGGAGGAGTCTAGACAAGCATTTTTTCAAAGGGTATAACTCTAAATCCTTTTTTTATGTTTTAGTAAAGTTTGAAATGTAGAAATATTCCTCTTAAATTTCCTTATACTTTCTAGTTC